GCATAAGTCAGTTCTCTTCTTTCCAGAAGTGAATTTATAGGGACTTTGCATTCAAGTATGATCTTTCACTCTTAGGCTGTCTATTTATGTTCATGGGGCATATTTGGTAAATATGGGAATACAGACAGTTGCTTGAAGCCTGGAGGATTTCATGTAATCCAAACATCTTTCCCTCTTTCTTAATTCACATTTTCTGCTGAAAATTCTAAAGTGTACTTATTAGGATTGTCTGAGCAATTATGGGGTGTGTTTGTGTATATACCATGACATTTGTGTAGAGGTCACAGGACAGTTTTCCGGACATTTTTTTCCCTACCTACCCTTGTGTGGGTTTAAGGCTCAAACTTAGATGGCCAGGCAAGTGCTTTAAGAGCCATGCCATCTTGCCTGGTCCATTGTAAAGTTCTCCAACTAATACACACTATTAGGTTTCGTTATGGGATTTTCTAATACAGTCTATTTTTATTAACTCCTCTCCACCCTTTGAGTGCTGCTCCCTCTCCAGTAACCTCCTTGAGCTTTCATGCCAGCTCTTCAAGACTCGGGATTATAAACATCTGCCATCAAGCTAGACTGTTTCTGTTTCCCAAGTCTGTTCCCAACTCCCATTTTAACATCCCAAGTGCTGGGATTAGAGGCCTGTGCCTCTACATCAGGCTCAAGTGGTCTCTGACCTGGCATCCTCTGTAACAAGCAGGGCTCTGCTCTTATTAAACTGTATGAGAGAAGACCGTCACCACTATCAGAATTCCTATCAGGACTTCCAGAGTTCTGTCTCATTTGCTTATTTTTTACACGAGAATATTTTCAAATGGCAGGAAATACTCTTCACTATTTCCTGCAATATCATAAGCTCTGTGCGTACTTGTGTTTTATCACTTTGTTATATTACTCAACACATCCCCAGTAGCACATTGAAGAATGTTTGTCTAGGATTTAGGAAATGTCAGTGTCTTAGTTTCTATTGCTGTGATGAGCCACCATGACCAAAACCAAATTGGGGAGGAAAGGGTTTATTTATGCTTCCACATTAGTGTTCATACTTGAAGGAATTCCAGGCAGGAACTCAAACAGGGCAGGAAGCAGGAGCTGATGCATAGGACATGGAGGGGTGTTGCTTACTGGCTGATTTCTTACAGAGCCCAGGACCACTAGCCCAGGGATGGCCACACCTCACAATGGGGTGGATATTCTTCTCATCAATCACTAAGAAAATTTCCCACAGGCTTGCCTACCACCTGATCTTAAAGAGACATTTTTCTCATTTGAGGTTTCCTCCTTTCAGATAGCTCTAGCTTATCCCAAGTTAACATAGAACTACCTAGGACCATCCAGTATGCTAATCGTCAAGAAAAGCAGCATCAAAACCACTTCTAAAGCAACTCATACTGGGGACTGAATACAGCTCAGTACCCATGTCAGGTGGCTAATGGACCTGTTAACTCCAGCTCAAAGGAAGCCAATAAAGCTCTCTTCCATCCTCTGTGGACACATGTAGACACATAAATAAACGGAAACATCTAAAAAGAGAAACTGCTTGTTTTCTGGACTGTTCTTGTGCATGCCTTTTATCTTCAGAGAAATTTGGGGAGCCCACCTTGAATGTCACATGCTGCCAGGGAAATTGGGAGCCCTTCTTAAGGTTCTCAGCCTCATTAATGCAATAGTTTAAGACGTGACTCAGAAGGAAGCTCAAGAACCATTTTATTAGTTTAAAAAGACATTCCCAGCATGGCCAAGGTGTAAGTCTCTCAGCTGCCCAGAGAGGGTGAGAGAACAAACAGGGGGAGGGCTTCCGAGTCAAGCAGATAGACCCTGGTAGAGCTGCATGACATGGGTGTGGGGCCAAAATCTATGACACCACCAATGGGCTTTGTAGGAAGGAAAAGCACACTGTCTCAGTAAAGGGGACTTTGACAGATGTTGGAGTGGCTCAAATCCTAGTATGGGGCCCTCCTCAGGTGGCTTCTAGAGGAAGAGAAGATAACTAACTAGCACATGATTTTTATGTTAGAATAGTTGGGCTGTCTCTCGGCTGGTTCCCATGTAGGTGCGGCAGTGTTGAATGAACTAAGGTTTGGAACACTGTATCTATCCAGCATTTTCCTTATCCAAAAAAAAAAAATGTTAGTCAGAAATGCTTTTCCAAAACACATCTCACATAGACTTAAGTCTAATGTCCGGCAACTATGATTCATATACATACATATATGTATATACACACAATTTGTGTTTATAGAATCAAAGGCTAAAATTTATATATTTACAATTATACACACATATACCTTTGATCATACTTTCTGCTGGCTTAAGGACACGCAGCTGGCCAGAAATCATTTTTTCTTTTTACTGTCAAGACCAGTTGAGTGTGGTCCTGGTCCTCAGGTGTCGTCTGGGCTTAGGACCACCCTTTGCCTCTTTTAGTATCTTTTCTCCCATTTTTAAAACATCCAACGATCTTAACTTAGGATAGCTTCTATATCCTTTTAATATTTATGAGTTCCTTTATTTCCTGATTATTACAGAAACTAACATCTCATTAAATAGTTGAATATGAGCTAAGATTACCTTTATATATAGTGCTAATGAGGCCTTGTAAATTCCCAAACAAACCTCATAAGAGACACAAAGAGGTTTTTAAATATATTCCATATGGTCCAGAGAATGATGTACCATGCCCGTGCCTTTGGCTTTCTATGAGTACAGGTACCATATAGAGAAAGGTAACAGATAAACCATCATCAAATCAATGTTGACAATATCCTGCAGAAATCAACTGAAGAAGCCTTGTTGAAACTGATGCTGGAGTTACTGAGGATTTCCAGATGAAGTCCCCTCTAGAGGTGAGTATCTCATTAACTGTTCATTGTAGGCATCTTCCTGTCATGGAATAAACATTAGGAACCTCTGTTGGAAATAAATTTACCCTGAGCTGGTCCTAAACACACAGTGCCTTTGCTCTTGGGCTATTTTATGAATCTCCTTTTCCCTGAACCTGGGGGAGTCTAGACTGACCTCAGGACAGGAAGTTCAGGTGCTCTTTCATGTGTGTTTGGGTGTCAAGTAGCAGGCCAAGTCCCCCCTCTAGAGGCAGCTTTTCAGTGAGCTCATACAGCACATGAGAATATACTGATACAGTATATATACATAAGACGTTTGTTCCCCTGTAAAACTGAAGAAGACAGCAGATGGCTACTTTTTCTAAAGTATCAGAGAAGCAATCCAATGGTGTGTGGTAGAGACAAAAGACCTGCTGCTGAGCCAGTGATGACAGGCTGAACCCAAAGCACCTGTCCTCATAACCAGGACATATTTTTCTGAAGAGTCTGTTTCATCTGGGGATTGACAACAGACAAAACATTTTCCCCCTTAGAATGATATCAGAGAGAGGACACGCAGTTTTGAAGGCTCGCTCTCTATTATCTTTAAATCTTATAAAGGTGAGTCGTAGCCCACAGCCATCAAGGCTGGCTCACAGCACCCTAAGTATTTGCCTCTAGTCTTTTCTAACTTGAGATCCTCCCTGGAAGCCAGGAGTGAACAACCACTTACTTGAAAGCCTGTACCTGGCCGGGCGGTGGTGGTGCACACCTTTAATCCCAGCACTTGGGAGGCAGAGGCAGGCGGATTCTGAGTTCAAGAGTTTGAGGCTAGCCTGGTCTACAGAGTGAGTTCCAGGACAGCCAGGGCTACACAGAGAAACCCTATCTCGAAAAAACAAACCAAAAAAAAAAAAAAAAAAAGCCTGTACCTACAATGTGTCTACAACCAGAGGCACACAATCTGAAGAACTTTAACACAGGACCCCATGCCTTCTCCATGTCCTAAGAAAGGCCGGGATGCCAGTTCTACCTTGGTGTGGAAAATGAAGTCTACAGAGCCAGAAGAGGTGCTTTGGTTCCGCTTACTGTGAGGCTGGAACAAATTCAGGCTCTTGTAGGTAATTCTTTCTGCTCTAGCCCTTTAGAGCCTGACTTGGCAGGCTTTTAACTAACATCTCCACTCTAAGTCAAATGGCTACTTTATTGCAATAATGTAGAAACAGCAAACAGGTCAGTTCCAGAAATCACACAGCAAGGTGTGTTTGGGACAGTCTCAGGCGTGCCCAAGTGTCTGGAGACTTTAGCAAGAACTATTTCTACTTGCAGATGTGTCTGAACGTTCCTCATAGGTAAACAGCTTGACAGAAGTAAAGGAAGAATACCAGTATCAAACAGAAAGCAACTCATAGAACATTTGGATTTGTGAGGTTTTTGCTAGAGATGTCTTGAAATGCTGACAAACTACCCCAAGCCTATGGTGAGGCAATGCTGCTCTGGGATACACAGCTAGACCTTGTCTCTCAAAACAGAAAACAAAGGTGTTCTTCAGGCTTGAAGCACTTTCTTCCTTTTCAGGCTTTATTCACCAATCAATCTATGGTGGAGACAAAATGATACTCTAGCAAACTACTTGACTGGTAACACTGAGTAAAGTAAATCACAACAAGGCCAAAAGAAACTACATATCCTAGCTTCCCATTCTCTACATCATGGAAGGATTGGGAAGAGTGCTCGAGATGCTGATTCAGAGATGATCCAAATCTATATTGAAGACACAAGGAAGTGTGTTTGAAACACTAAGTTCTTTTCCATGGAGCTGATCTGACAGGCCTTAAAGGTGCTGGAAGATGATTAGGCTCCAAGCTGGGCCAACGTGTCACTTTCAAAGACAAGAAGTTGTCAACCTCTGTGTTTCAAAACCCCTTTAGCAAACCTCTACTTTCAAAAAATATTTACATTTTTAAAAAATTTATTTATTTTACGTATATGAGTACACTGTAGCTGTCTTCAGACACACCAGAAGAAGGCATCAGATCCCATTACAGACGTTTGTGAGCCACCATGTGGTTCCTGGGAATTGAACTCAGGACCTCTGGAAGAGCAGTCAGTGCTCTTAACCACTGAGCCATCTCCCCAGTCCCTACATTGTGATTCATAACAATAGCAAAATTACAGTTATGAAGGAACAAGGAAAATAATTTTATGGTTGGGGGTTACCACATGACGAACTGTATTAAAGGGCTGTAACATTGGGAACCACTCATCTAGACCCTGAAGGAGTACCTTAGATAGAATAGCCTTCATCAAAGATACTGCTACAGAAAGGCATTAGGACCACACACTGTATCAAAAGTACACTAGTGAACGGCCCTGGGGTACCACAGAGGAACATAATGTAAACTTTAGTGCAGTGTGTAGCCATTTGACCTCCCATAGGGCCTTGCCTGGCAGAAATTATCTGTATACTGGAGGTCTATAAAACTTGTCCCACAAAATGACAGTATTAGCCCATCAAGGATCTTGCTCTGCTCCCACCATTCCAATCTGGGGAAACCAAAAAAAAAAAAAAAAAAAAATCAGCAAGAGACCCAGTCTTCAGCCTTTTTCTTCATTCTGATGAAGTAAGCCTATATAAGAACTTACTTTTTGGTTTCCCTTTGCTATCAATAATAGACATACTAGGAAGGGCTAGAATCTTATCCCAGCACCAAAAATATGTTAAAAGAAAGAAAAAGAAGTGAGATCTAAGGCACCCACTATCATCTGTCATCAGACATCTTTTTTGAAGAACTCAGAATCCATATGACAAAGGCCTCTGATTTTTGCCCATCTTTATCCAGGAGCCTTCTATCAAGTGCTTCTATAGTTATCAAATTTTCTGGTGGTCCTGATGGCAGACCTAGGGGATCCAGACCTAGGAAAGAAAAGAAAATGCATAAACACCAGGATTAGAGAAGAGAAAATCATAGTTCTCATTCAGATTCACTTCCAACCAGTCTCCAGATTCTGACCTAGGCCTTTTATGCCCAGGGATCAAGCTGACTTTTTACATAAACTTAATTACATAGTATTTTATCTCTAACATGTTCTCCTTTCTAGACAGTTTTTAACACTTTTAAATAATGGCAAGACCTAGACTGTAGAAAATAAAACCTTGATAGGTTGACATAAAAACCACAGCTCTAAACTTAAAGGGAATAAGCATGGTTTATTCTGGATCCATTTTGAGTCACCATGGCCCAGGAACATGTCAGAAGCCATAATAGGACAAGCTAATAATTAGCAGTTGATTATCCTGAAATGCTTGCCTCGGATTGTTATCTGCGACAAGTGTGCCACATTTAGCAAGGCTATGTTGGACATATTTTAGGAAAGATCCTGCTATTAATATGCTTTTCCTATTATTATTAAACATATATAACAATCACTAAGCAATAGCACTCCCCTTTGGAGCAGATCTCTGCAGACCCATGAAGATGTACTGTCTTGTAGTGTTGCTATATAGACAAATAGATGACTTCTTAAGTCTTAATGATGATCCTATAAGAATTCCTAAAATTATATCAATGATTATTAAGCTCTTTTATAGTGGGACTGCTATTAAGTCCCTTTCTGATAGTCAAAACTACAGTGAAAACTCTGCCAGTCTCTCAAGTGTCACCAGTTAATTGCTCTTAGATAGTAACCAGACTTTCTCCTACTCAGAGCACATTCCAAGGTGGTTGTAAAACTATTAACCAAGGGTCACTATAAGGGAACTCACAATTTATTTTAGGTGCTAGGACCGAAGAAAAAATATTGCCTGGGTTTATCTGTACAAAACTTCACTAATTTCTTAGTTATAGTTTTAAACCTTCGGTGAACCTGTGGAGTTAGACAGGTGATGGATGTTTAGCCAGATAATTACTCCTAATGGATATGCATGTAAACATTCTCGATTGTAAGCTTCTATTTCAATTTATGATTTGAATTTTGGTGTGAACTTGTGATGAACTTTGTAACATGTGATCAGGTACTCTGAATGATGTATAAGACAAAGGGACGTCCGTTAGCAACTCACTTTCTCTTCCTCACTTCACCTCTCTCTCTCTCTCTCTCTCTCTCTCTCTCTCTCTCTCTCTCTCTCTGTCTCTGTCTCTGTCTCTGTCTCTGTCTCTGTCTTCTCTCTCTTCTCCCTTCTTCCCTGCTTAGAATTTCTCTACTTAGAATTTTTCCTTTGTTAGAATTTTTTCCTTTTTCCACTTAGGACCTTCCCATTTTCCCCCTTAGATAGGAAACTTTTTACACTTAGCAATAAACTACAATAACTTCTTTAAGTGTCTTTTCTTCCTGCGACCTCAAACCAACAGACCTAAGTTAGAGCCTGGCAGCACCTGCAGAGACAGATCAAAGGCATTGCTTAATTCTCTGCTGTCCCTGGGCAGAGGTGTTAGTGGCCAGAAACTGCAGTTTCAGAGGATCCAACAGATACCAGGTCAGCTACAGTAGCCTAGTAAGTAAACTTTAGTAATGTAGATAAGAAAGATTTTATTAAACAGCAACCCTAAATATCTCGTAAGATATTACCCCAAATCTCGTAAGACCAAGTCTTACCCCTCACCGATGCTCTTCCAATTTCTATCCCCCTTGGCTGCCTCAAGAAGAACCAACCGACCAGAGGAGAAGAAAGAAGATCACCTTCTCCCCGCCACCCAACTAAGCCGGGTACAGCTCCCGGCAGGAATACAGGTTTAGATTACCCCAAATTCCATGTTCTAACATGCAAGCAGTTTCACAGGATTTTTATACTTCCTTACAACAAATAAAAATCATAAATCAGGGCACGTTTAAAAGACATTGGTGGATACATGGTGGGTGCAACATTATAGGGGAAGCTATTCTATAGCTCCAAGATGTTACCTGATGACATTCTCAGCTCTTGGATAGGTGGAAGCTAGTGGTCTGCTAAGTTTATAGCTTCTAAGAGGTTTTTATGTATTATCATGAGATGTTAGTTCAGAGTGGGATGAGGAATGCATGTTCCAGAAGGCTAAAACTAGCCCAAGATAAAATAATTGTCCTCTGAATCTGCAAAATCCCAATCTCTCCGTAGGACTGTGATTTTGATTCCTTCTAGGAATCATTCATTCATTCATCTTTCTTTCGTTCTTTGTTTTGTTTTTTGAGAAAGGGTTTCTCTGTGGTTGTCTGTCTCTGTGGCTCTCTCAGAACTCACTCTGTAGACCAAGCTGGCCCCTAACTCACAGATCCACCTGCCTCTGCCTCTAAAACATTGGAAATAAAGGCCTATGCCACCACAACCCAGCTCTTCCAGGAGTCTTTTACTCACAGCCAAATACAGCTTCTTTTTAGGAACATTGTTATTCATACATAAGTCTCTTTTTATTAGATTTATTTTTATGTGTTTTACATGTATGTATATATGTATGTATATATAGCACTCACATGTCACATGCTTCATGCTTACGATGGTTAGAAGAGGCCTCTGGATCCCTGGAAACTGGCATGATAGATGGTGGTCAATCACCATATGGGTACTGGAAATTGAACCTGGGTTCTCTGTAAGAGCAGCCAGGGCTCTTATCTCCTATCTCTCGAGGAGCCAATAAAAGTCTTTTAGCTTATTTTTGACAAAATATTAAGGTTTTTATTCATATTTATTCATCTATATAAGTACTTAAATGTATTTAATACATATAAAATAATGTATACTGGGGAATCTGAAGATTATTTCACTACTCAGAAGTGATGTTTTTGTGTTTTTTGAGACAGGATCTCTACATAATTTTTGTTGTTAAATGCTTAACTGTTTTACATATCTACAAAGCCACACTGAGATAGAACTGCCAGTTATAGGCCAGCCTAGGTGGACTTTATTATAGTGTGACTATTCCATAAAGAAAAAGCAAACCATATCTTCAAAAAAACATAGGGAAAAAAAACCCTCAACAAATGTTTAAACCTGGCTTCTCAAATATAGTCACCCAGCTGTGCGCACTGAGAGCTTTTGGTACATAGCTACACCATACTCATATAGTCAAGATTTTCATGAACATCTCTTTTGTTATTATAAAAGATATGCATGTTACCCATGAACACATTCAAATAATCTTCAACATTGACAGACATAGCTTTACACAGTCTTTGTCATCACCTTAAACTCTGGGCATATATTCATATTAGTATATATTTTTAATATATAGACTTCTGCATTTTACTTAAGACATTTAAGAGATGATAAATTAAATCGTATGGGGCTTACTACTGTGTCTTATATGAAATTCAATTCTATGTCAATTACTCATCTTCAAATTCCAAGTGACGTTTAGCCATTCTATCTCTGTAAAAAATGTCAATATTGAATCCATCCCACCCACCAGCCTCCCACACTTCTGCTCCCCTAGATGGAAGCCTAATTCTTTGCCCTCGGTTTGGGTCCTCCATCCCTTCAAACAATTGGATAAATGTCAGACCTTTCCTAAACACCTGTGCCACCTGGAACTGGCTTGTCCTTGCTGGTCTTACACTGCTGCAGTCCTGGATCCAGCAGGCATAGTACAGTTGTAGTACAGTGATGGTACATGAAGCTCTGCTTCCAGCGTGGGCAAGAGCAATAAACACAGACACACTCCTTCTTATAGTGCCATACCTCTACCCCAGGAGACTGCCCTTTTTAAAGGTTCGCTAAGTTCTTTGACACAAAGTCTTCTCTCTAGCCCAGGCTGACCTGGTTGGTGCTCACAGTAGTCTTTTCCTACCTTCTGAACACTGGGAGTGCAAACAGGAGCCATCTTGACTGCGAAGAGTTTGCATTTTCCTTTTTCATATCCAAGCTGGGAATAGCACAGTTTCAATATCCCAGACCGCTTGTGGCCCACTTCAGTCCCCTCAACTTTCAGGTTCTATAAGGAGTTACACCAGCTTCGTGTCATTTCTTGGTGCATTGGAAGACAATGAGCTTCAGTTTAAAGGCCAGCCCTCCTCCTAGCAGGGCCCCATGGGAAAGAAACTATGCTGGTGTCCTGTTGAAACTAATTCCACTTGGGGGCAGTAGAGCTCTAGACAAATTCAGCAATGCCATCTTACACCCTATTCTCCCGCCCATCTAGTCTGAAAAAAAACAGGGAAGAGAAAGGCCTGGCTTCCATTCTGTACAGACTCAGGCAACTAGTTTTACTAGGCAGCCATCTTACTTTCATATTTGCAATTCAAACCAAAGATTGCAAACAACCACCCTCCTGCATCAGAATGCTTCTCTTTTGCAAAGATAAATTCGTTCTGAACTGTGTGCATTCAGGCTTGATTTACTCGGTGATATTTGTCGAGTAGGTGAAGGAAAAAGTAGAAGGAAAGCATGTGAATCCTCAGGGGCATCTCTAGTAAATCACAAATCCAAGTGCTTTTTACTCATATGAATTTATGTACAGTGTCCTCAAGTTGTTGGAGGACAACTGCCCTTTTGTGGTACTGGGGTTGCATGTACACCTGAAGACCTCTGTTCCATCTCCAACATCCTCTTTGAAGGAGATAAACAATACTACAAATTGTTCTTGGACCTTGGCAAGCACACTGCAGGAGTACACACACACCTACAGCAAACATCTGTGGGATTAAATAGCCTCACTGCTGCTAGTCCATGTCACTCTCTAGGTTCTACATCAATGTACAGTTAGGGTTCAGTTCTCTCTTCAGGTTTTAGAAAGATGCCCAATCCTCTTCGAGAACCCTGAAGGCCCTTATGGAGGTCCCAAAACTATGTCCTCATGGGGGCAGTAGTGCAATAGTGCTCTAAGAGGAGCCACTGTGTGGCCTGCCTCTCCCACCCATCTTGTCTGAAATATATCATTTGTCATAACTAAAACTGCCAGGAAGTATGCCTGCCTTCCATTTAGACTCAGAGCCAGATCATAAGGCAGCCATTTTGTTTCTGTATTACCATTTCAAGGCAAAGAGATGCCTATAACTCCATCCATCAGCACTCTTGTCCTTTCCCTAAGTAAATCTCCTCTGGACTTCATCCAGGAAGGTGCTGTTGCATTATCATATCTCCTTAGTGGAGTAACTTGGATAAAGTCAGAAAGATGAAGTTGCTTGAAGCCTGTGTTCTGGCATTTCCTGAGAGTTTATGACAATGGGATGACCTTGGGCAATAAGGATATAACAATGGGATAGCCCTAAGCAATGACCCTTATCCACACTTCCCATTTTGCTGTATCTTTATAACCTGCTCATGAAATTAAAGTTTCAGAGCTTGATCAGAACTGAGACTAACTCTCATTCCTTGTGTCTCTTGTGCCTTCATTCTTCACCTTCAATAGGGTCTCCTCGAATCCCTGCAGAGATACTGTATGCTGAAGCCAAATATGAGTGACCTTCACTTAGGAATGCATATCTAGGTTACCCAAACTTACATGTTCCAATAAGGTAGCAATTTAATGAACTGTTTATAGTAACAGAACAAAGAAAGTCACAATAAAAGTCCAAGGCCTGTATTGTAAAGTCAAGTTTGGAGGTGCAAAACCTCTAATCTAAGCACTTCTGACAGTGACCTGGGATCATCTCAAATTCAACACAGTCTGGATCACAAAAAAAAAAAAAAAAAAAAAAAAAAAACTTATCTGAAAAAAAAAAAGCAAGAATGAAGTCTAGCCGGGCAGTGGTGGCACATGCCTTAATCCCAGCACTTGGGAGGCAGAGACAGGCGGATTTCTGAGTTCAAGGCCAGCCTGGTCTACAAAGTGAGTTCCAGGGCTACACAGAGAAATCCTGTCTCGAAAAATAAAAAAAAAGAAGTCTAGACTATAAATATCATTAAGATTGGCCTAATCTTAACAAATTATTAAATTATCTCCAGTGATTTTTATCATCTGGGCCAAATGTGGTATCTTACACTTTTCCTCCTTTAATCAAGAGGGAAAAGCAATGCGCACAGGATAGCCAAGAGTTCAAGGTAAGCCTGGACTACTTACGACACTGGGACCTGTTGACTGAAGGGAAAAAAGCATCTGTATTATAGAATAAATGTATACTGTATATTCTGATATAATACATACTTTGAAAGTGGAAAAGTAGGTGTTTTGTTGTCCTGGTGTTTAGACTTTTGGTTTTTGTTTTTATGTGCATCCATGTGTGCATGTGAACGTATACAATGTGAGTAATGTTACTCACAGAGTACAAAAGGATGTGTCACATCCCCTGGAGGAGCCTACTGTTGTAAATTCTTACCATGAAATTTTATATTTAAAGCTGTGTTGCAAGACCTTACCTGTGATTCCCACAGTAGAGATGTTCGAGAAAGAAAATAAGGGTTGCTGAGCAGAAGGGACATAGCAAATTCACAGCTCATTTATGACAGAGACCTCATGTGCTATTATACCAGGAATGAATAAAATACAGAACCATCAGAGCCCAATACTACTGTGGAGGTTGGCCAAATTATCTTAGGCCTCAGTGCTATTGGCATCCTCCAGTGAGTGCTGGGATTACAAGACACCAAAACTCAGCTACTTGAATTATCCTTCCAATATTCACATCCAGGATGAAAAAATGAAAACTTTATTGTAAATATCATTAGCCAAAGCAAGCACCATCAACAGTTTGTTATATATGTGCATTTAATCAGAAAGGAAATAAAACAGAAGATTGTTTATGAGAAATAATCCTTTTAAAGGACATATAGGCTAGTCAATGCAGTACTATACTTGTGCCTTTGGGTGTACACGCAGGGACAGAGGGAGACTAGGGAGATGCAGCTGGGTTTAGTGACAGGGAGGACAAAGGACACTTACAGGGAGGAGAGAGGCCCATTAATATCATTAATTCTTTTCAACAATTCCATCCTAATCATACTGTAAGTCTGGCTAATTGCCATGGCTATTTTTTTACAATATTAGGATTAAAAAATTCCCTGTGGCTTAAATTATGAAGGAGATTTCAGTCCTGCGGAACAACGACAGAGTCGAGAGTATGTTAGGTAAGGGTTGTTACCCCTCAGCAGGACCAATTGCCCTGCATGAGGAAACATTACTTTGAAACCTCCTAGAGTATCTTTCTTGTGTGAAAATTATAACAAATAAGACTAGATTTTTAAGGACACAATTAAGTAGCAGAAAGAGGTGAATATTAACAATTATAGAAAAGGAAATGGGCAATATCTTTAATACCAGAAAGAAAATGTCCCGTGACATAAGGTAGATTTAATTAGGCCTCAGATTGAATTCAGAAGGAAAACCACACGAAAAAATAAAATACTGCTTAAACTATTCCAAGATAAGCAAAGTCATGGCAGCTATCTTCCTTGCTATCTACCTTTCTCAGAGCCATTTTTTTTTTCAGACACGAAGGGCGGGGGACAATCGCTCACAAGCTCTTGAGTGGAGCTCTACTGCCATCATGAGGACAGGGTTTCACAACTCACAGCACCACTGGGCTTCCTTCCCATGATTCTTA